TGAATGTTTTTCTCTGTTCTTTTCTTGACATAACCCTGTTTAATCCATTTAAAATAAAATAAAACAAAGAAAAACCCTCCATTTTAAGAACGCAAGAAGCCTGCATCCATTTGATCTCTTTTTGTTCCAAAAAAAAAAAGAAGAGGCCAGAAGGCTTTATAGGATTTGGGGAAGTGATGAAGTGATAACATTTTAGAAGTCAAGACAACTAAGGGGCCTTTCTCCCTGTGTGCGTCACATTGCAGATAAAAATACACTGCCAGCTCACAATACATTCAATAGAAAACACAATCCCTAGTGCCAACACTGTTGCTCTGTTTGCAGGTTTCTAGTTAAAGGGAAAACAAACTCTCTAAGCAATAGGAGGGCACTTGTTTGTGGGGTAAGGATCAGGATCAAACAGCGGGGAGTTGGTGTGTTTAGCGACACACAATGTGATGGACTGGGCAGGCTGAATGTTATTTTCTGTTTTCAATATCAAAAGTGATGAAAGTGTGACATACTGTAGCTCAGCTCCAGCTGCTCTCCAGTCTCCAGACTTGTTATTAACCAGTCTGTGAGCTGTTTTTGTGCCTCACTTTGATACAACCAGAACTCAACCATAAACATTACCTGACCCATCAGCATGTGCTTTAACCCCGACCTTCTCAAGTCAGGAAAGAACAACCTGCATGAGTCCTTTGACGTGGCCATTTTAAAAGCGTAAGCATCACAGGAATGCAGACACACGCACGCACGCACGCACGCACGCACGTACACACACACACACACACACACACACACACACACACACACACACACACACAGTCTTTATGTAATTTTACTATTTCAAGGTTCAAGATCAAGATCAAGGTTCAAACTGCCCCCAACCCCCCAGAGGGGCAGTTTGCTTTACAGCCAGTAGCACATAAAACAAGAATGGCACACATCAAGGGAGGGGAGGATTCCCATGATCCTGTTGAGGAGACCAATGGTATCAGGGACAAATGTCAGTCCTGCACCAAGAGTATATCTGCAACCAGATGGCAGCAGCTTGTACTCAGTGTAAAGAGGGTGAGTGCTCTGGCTCTGGATAAAAAGGTCAAGCTCATAAAAACTACAGGAATGCAGTTACAGTCTCACTATTTGTTCAAACCTTGTCCTATTTTTCAGATTGAGAGACCCAAACTGGCGGATAAACAGAAGGTTAAAACAGACTCAATAAAACAAGTATAAAACATTTTCATAAAAACACGGTCTAAGGAGCGCTGATAGCCTAGAGGTTCTGTCAGGCACGCCATATGTGGAGGCTTTAGTCCTCGTCACAGCGGTCGTGGGTTTGGATTTGACCTCGGCCCCTTTGCTGCATGTCGTCGCCCCAAAAATAACCTTAAAAAAACAAAAAAACAGTTGACATTTAAAGGAAGAATATGCAAAATTTTACACATAAATACATAACAAATCAAGTTTATCCTGAGTAAATGTCTCTCTGAGTCATGACTGTCTACAATGAGTGAGAAGCTCGAGTCCCACTGACTGTGTTGTTGTCAGAGCTGTGTTTACATCATGTTTATGTGGACAGGACGTCCTTGCGTATAAAGCTGTTTCAGTAAAGGACTAGAGAGAAGAAGAAAAACATACTCACTGCTTATTTGGATGTCACATGGGTGTGTTTAGATCACAGTCATTCTGTGTCAATCTATGTGCAATATGAAACTACGAGCTAACCAAAGTGTGCTAACATTAGCCTGCTAACACAACAATGCAGGCCACAGGCAATTGCAGCTCGAGCAAAGGACAATTTTGTCCGCCGCTAGCGCTTAATGATGCTTAATTATGGTGCGTTCTTATTGATAACTCCTTTGTGCGAACACGAGTAGAGAGAGGTTGGAGGTGCGCCACTGAAGGAGAGCGGAGGCTTCAGATTAGCGGAGGTGTGGCCAAACAGAAGTTTGTTTTGGTTTCATACTGGTGCTCATGGGCGACATCTACTGGATCAAAAAGTCACACATTCTTCCTTTAAATTCCTCTCCTGCATGTTGCCTTTACCAGCACCATCTCACTTTCAAGTGACTACATATTTTAAAGATTTTTTTTTACCTAACTGTGAGGCAACATTGTGTGAAACTTGAGTGGCAGGAGTGATGTAATGTGACGTCAGTAAACTGTAGGCCGAGTTATGCTTACAGGCCCACCTTGCCTCTGACTGCATTACACCTGAGGGTAACAGGACTGCACAGCGTTTCAAACACCAGGCCTTCTTCTTACTCTGCTGTTTGGCAGAATATATGGATTCATAGTGAGGCGACACCAAGCTACTTTGGGCCTCCCCAGGCACTCTGGTTCACTGGCTGCTTGCTATTTCCCTCTAACACTCATCAGCAAGGATCCAGAGTGTGTGTCAAATCGAGTGTGGTTGCACCAAATATCAGGTTTGTAGTAGAGCTTGACCGTGACATGCATGAAGGAATGGACAATTTTCTGCAATTTTCAACAGTCACCCCTGTTTCCTTTTGGAAAAATAGATTGCAACATTTTGTAACAACCCAAGTAGTATATTAGCTCATGGTCATAACATGGGCATGTATTCATGTTTAGAGCTGTTTAAACTAATGAATGTATGTTTCATGTGGTCAGGAAACCAACAAAGAATCATTCCCAGACTCTTCAGTTCCCCTCAGGTTCACAGAGCATTTGAGTATCTTAGTGATTAGCTTTGGTTTCATGGTGTTTTAAACTTTAACTTCTCTCCTCCTAACACTCTCGTTAATGTCCTGTCCAGCACTTCATGCTACTGGATCAATAACAGAAGGCTAGTTAAATAACAGCTGGTGACAAAAGATACCGCAGTAGAAAACTTCTTTGTGCAAGAGCCAGTTATCTCCATCTGTTATTGCTGGATGTTATATAAGTACTAACAGGAGAATGAATATTGGACTTGAATGCTAATCTTTAAAACACATGCACTATGGATGTAACATTGTTTGTGTTGTGTTTACATGGTATGTGCTGCTCAATGGCAAACAGCTCAATGCATGCATGTTAAAGGAAAGAGTAAATAAGAGTATTTATGGTTGTGCGAGTGAACATGTTCTGCGGTTTTCATGCTGTCGCCTTTGGCTCTGGAGATGCTTTAATATGAAGCAATCTTGGCTTGGTGAGGGTTAATGTGTGAAAACAAGGCAGGATATCACACTATGAGGATAAACACTAAGTCACGATTGAGGAGCATTTGGGGGATTGTATGATCCAATAGCTTAACAGAGATTAAAAAGTCAGGATATCTTAACATTTGGCCTCAATTTTGAACTGTATTTTTTAAAATCTGTCTCCAATGAGTTCCTCAGCTTTAAAAAAGCGAGCACTAAACTGCTGGTGTGTCCCTTTTGCTTTTATTGTGACAAGTTTTAATATTATTTAAGATATTTTTACAAAGCTTGTAAAGGGGCTTTAAATGTACTGCCCAGTGGGCCCCATTATTGAGAAATCCAAATTGCCAGAGAGCATGACAGAAAGGCCGTCTGCCTGCTTTTTGAAACTCACATGGAGAGCATTAACACGCTACAAAACTGAGTCTGATCTCCCTGAAGGCAAACATGTTTTATTCCTAACCTTTCCCAAACACCAATCAGTGCAAAGGCCAACTCACATCAGGAACTGCAAACTGGGACACAGAAAAAAAAAACAATACTGGGATTTTCTTGGGATGTAATGAGATACACTGTTGTCCACAACCTGTTTTAAATGAATTAGAAGACATTGCATAGGGACTTTCCTTTCTTCCTGTATAGAGTGTTATGTCTGGCGTGAGGTACTGCAGAGTCCCATCTCTGACATTGCCTTGCTTTGCTGTCTGAAACAAGCATCTTTTTGTGTTGATGGAGGAGGGAGCCGATCATGTGCTTGATATAATCTGTTTATGAAGTGGTAATACAAGTGGCCTTCTGTGCTCCAATCAGCAGGGTCCGCCGGCTGCTGTCTGCTCTCTCTCTGTTGTTTTGCATTTCTGATTAACAGCTTAATTAATGTCTGGATGTTGAGGCTTGGTGACACATTAGCACATGCTTCTACCAGATTCTTTGATGAGGGGTTCACTTACAAAAAAAGAAAAGTTGAAATAAAAACAACAAATGTTGTGTTCTCTGAAACCACACAACGTTTTGTGAACGGTTAGGTGTTGAGTGTAGAAAAAAATGGGATTTTGAAAAATGGAAGAAGGACATATTCTGTTAGAAAAGAAACAGTGACGGCCCTGTTAGGTTGGGCCTTCTCTCTTCTTGTGTTGCAGGTTGGGAGGCGTGGCGGTTCAATCAGCTGGACTGAGAGCACCTGGACCCGATGCTCACAGTCACTATAAGAGTTCCACCTTTATCTGCACACACACACACTCTAACATTTATGATTTTATATAGGTCTGTATACCTTAGAAATAAGTGCTGCCTCAGAAAAAAAACACAGTAACTGGTTTTCTATAAAGGAGAACTATAAATATAAAAAAGTCATTGTCAGATCAGTGTTGAATCATAACCACAACAACGTGTGCTGGAGCACCACCTAGTGGACGAGGTCTGTAACTCTTCATGAAGTCAGTCTTAACCTCGATGTTACGACCCAGGTCGTGTGGGGGCCAAGGGAAGCAACATAAAACCATTTGTTTTTGGAAATTTAAAGTTATCTATTACAAAAGAAACAAATTGTGATACACAACAAAAGGTGAGGCAAACTGAAAGGGCTAATGAGTGCTGCTCAAAAAAAAACCATATAAAACAGAAGGACTCTAAATAAATGTTTTATATACCAAGTCAAATTAGTGAAAATAAATTCAATTAAACTACACTAACCAACCAAATTGAACAACAAATGAACATTATCGCTAAACCTAGTGTTTCTAAACAAATACAAAACCTAATGTCTGTGAGTGTGTGTGTGTGTGTGTGTGTGTGTGTGAGAGAGTGTCTGAATACCTGCCCAGTCGAACACCAAACAACAGCCTAAGAACACAGAAGACACAAGACAACCAGTTCTTCAAAGAACGTTTAATAAACATATAGACAAAGACAACGAGAGGCACAGTGGAGAGATTAAAACTAACAGAGCTGCGCTCCCGACTGCTGGCTGACCGAGCAGGGCCGTCCTCTGATTGGTTAATTGCCTCCTGCAGCTGTGTTCCAATCACGCTTTTCTAACACTTTTTTAAAGATTTATTGACTCACTTATCAAACACAACATAACATAGTTTGAAAGAATACATGAACAGCAGGATCTTTCCACAGGAATATTTATCTTTCTTGCACATAAGAAAAATGATACTTGCTTTAACATCAGTGCACTTGATATGAAACTCCATTCTGTTACTGTAGCATAAAGACTGGAAAGAAAGTGAATCCTCACATGAGTCAACAAGTTATATACAAAGACGCGTTTCACAACAGTGCTGAATGCAACTCTTGTTCCATTTAAAAATGATACTTGCTTTAACATCAGTGCATTCGATATGAAACTTTATCCTCTTACTGTAGCATAAAGATTGGAATAAAAGTGAATCTGCCCACACTTGATTCAACAAGCTATACACAAAGACACGTTTTACAACAGTGCTGAATGCGACTCTTGTTCCATTAAAAAGGATATTACTTTCCCTTTGTTCAGAAGCTTGGGGGCTGAACTACTACTACCCAGCAGGCTTATAAAGTTTTATATTTACTTCAGAGATCTGAGAGTGGTATCAGACTTTTTAAAATGTTCAGATGTTTTATTAAATCCACTTCTGAATCCCAAAATGTGTGACGTTTTGTAACTCCTTGCAGTGCAGGAAATCCATAAATGTGCCTTTGACAGGTTTGATTGTAACACAATGTTTCCAATCATTCATTTAAAAATGACATGAAACAAGATATCAAGTGTCAAAAATACGGGTAATGATAAACCAAATTAAGAAAAAGTGTTTATGTCAAGCACAAGAGAATGGTAATAACTTCTGATAAAAATACATTCAACAGCATGGAACAATATTCATAATGCCACAAAGATGCTTTAGTATGTCATTAACACAATAATTACTTTTTGTTTAACATTTACATGCAGGTCGTGCAATAGAGGATTCAACATTCTTAAAAGACAACGCAGAAAACAATTTACATTACAACATTATATAAGAATCATACATTGTTCAATTCTTTAATTATAATCTATGATTTTCATTCTTTTCTAAACGTTCAAGTTTTGAGACATAACAGGCTACGTACTATCTTCACGGTGCAGGACAACATCACTGAAATACTGAACAATATGGACTCAAGCAAGAATGCTTTTTTCTGAGACTTGCAACTTCATCTTTTGAATTATAATGTAAACCAACCTTTATCTCTTTTTGACTTCAATCTTCAATTTCTTCTCCCAACATCCTTCCTCTTTGTTACCGAGGCTGCAAGCCATTCTGAAAGCTCTCATATTGTAAATCAACTGGCTGTCAGCTGGTGGGTTTCTCTAGGCTCAGAGTCCATGGTGGTCTTCAGCCTGTCTGTACCACGCAGGGTGCTTCTCTTCACAGATTTGCGCATGGAGGACAAACGTCTGCGGAAACCCTCTCCAGAGAAAAAATAAAGCAGTGGATCAAAGCATGAATTGGCAGCAGCCAGGCACAGTGTCACCACAACAGACTTCTGCATGGCAATCCGCTCTGAGCAGGTGGTTTCTGTCCGATACAGAAAGTTCAGGTGGATGGAGCGCTGCACGTGGTAGGGCATGAAGCAGATCAGGAAGGTCAACAGGACAATGACGATCATTCGGATGGCTTTGGTGCCTGTGCCGCGTGTCTGCTGTCTGGAAGATTGGGTGCGGAACAGCAGGGTGCGGACTATGCCAGCATAGCAAATCAGAATGACCAGGAAGGGCAGGGAAAAGCCCAGCACCAGAGACAAATAGTTCAATATGACTAGTTTCTCCACAGCTGGACCCCGTGGAGGCTCAAAGCACTTGGTTTTATTTGTGATGGGGTCAAAACTCTGGCCAGACATCAGAAAGGGTGAAGATGAAAGACAGATGAATAACCAGATACCTGCACACACCATGCGAGCACGGTTTTCTGTAACCAGCTGCAGGTTCTGCACAGGGAAGACTATGGCCAAGAAACGTGTGAAGGACATAGCGGCCATGAAGTAAATGCTGCAGTAGAGGTTTACATAGAGAGCATAGGAGCTGATGCGACAGAGGAAATCCCCCTGGTTCCATTGGCCCTTGTTCACATAGTAGATAACTCGCAGTGGCAGGGTCATGACACACAGTAGATCGGACACCGCAAGGTTCAGAATGTAGACATGGAAGGGTGAGCTCTGGCGATTGGTTCTGACCAGCACCACCAGAGCGAAGCCGTTCCCCACCAGTCCTAACACAGTGATGAGCGAGTAGGCGGTGGAGTACACCTGGTTACGGAAGTCATCAATGGATGGACATTCTGTAGAATTGCTCCCCGAGCTGTTTGTCACATTCAATTGGGCCATTTGTGGTCACACCTGCAGAGAATCAGATAAACGACATGTGAAACAAAGATAATGTCAGCAAAGGAAGCAGACGTTCATGCACGACAAAAAAACAATCTGCTTCATCTAGAGGGTGAGAAATGTGATGTGGCAGATTGTTTCTGAGATCTTGTGCTGTTTCGCAGACTCTGCAGAAAACTTTACACTCTAAATGCGTTAGAGGTATTTTTTTCGACAGATGACAAAAGCCTTACCTGTTTTGGGTTGCACTATAGAAGACAATCATTGAGAAATGCCATGACATTGTTTATTATGAATTCAGACAGTTTTTCAACAGACCGCATCATTTCTCTCAAAGGATAAAATCCTGAGACCAGGATTTTATTTACCACATGTACATGTACATCAGATTAGAAAGACCGAAGGGACTTGCATGCATTAAATGTAAGCTTCGTGCAAAGGCAATTTATAAAACTCTCTCTCTTATTGCTATCGACAATATAAAATGCATCAGAGTCTGAATGTTGTGTTAGTGTTTGTAGCTCTGTATGAACTATATGAATTGTCTCTTGTTTATTTGTTGGCTGAGGGAAAAAATTTGAAGCATGTTTAAACAAAGTTTATCTGATATGAGGATGTTGATAGTGAATGCTAGATTTAATGTGTTACATCACAGTTGCATGCATTAACTTTAACTATCCACTTGTGTCTTCCCCTTAGAAATAGAGATAACATTTCTGATTTAGCAAAAAGTCATGATCATATAATCAGTCTGCAGCAATTTCCCCTTACCGCTGAATTCCTGTGTGGTATGCTGCAGCCTGTCTGTTGATCTTCTCTCGTGGTAGATGTGCTGAACAGCAGCTCTTCTTCACAGTGTGTCTACTCCGCCTCTGTCTTGTCTTGCACATGTCACAGGAGTAGTTGTAGGAGGACTCTGCAGAAAGTAGCTGTCTCTTTACACCCTCAGTTATTAGGAAAGGAGGGCTGGTCTTTCTCTTCTACTGTGCAAGGTTACAGCATCAAGCCCTATGACGTCACCAATGCTGCAACTCATTACAGTACATTTAAGCAAACAGGGTTAAAAAAAGGAAGAAAAAGAGTTGGATCAACACAGGAAGTTGTGCTTTTGTTATGAGTTTGCCTTATCAGTTGTATTGAATAACCTTTAATTTCTTAAAGTGGACATATTATGAGAAATTCACTTACAGTACAGTATTTTTGAACATATATTTGGGTAACCTGAGTAACCTGAGTGTCTACTGCCCCACAAAATGTGAAATAAACCCATCCAGTCCTTTGTTTGTGGTCTGCATAAGTCTTACAACACAGAGACAAATGCTATGTTTCAAATGTGCTCAACTCGTGATGTCACAAGTGGGAGTCTGGTAAAAAAAATAACTTTCACTCCCCAGATATCTCCACCCATGGACTGCACCTCCAGCCTAAAACAAAAATTTTGAGCAGGTCTGCTATTTTTATTCTCGCTACAGAGGAGTGATGTCTACCGGGAAAACTCAGGGGGGGCTCATTGCATTTAAAGAGACACACACACCAAAACGGAGCGTTCTGAGAGAGCTGGTTTATACAGGGTCACAAACCTCCTCTGGTGCTTGATTCATGTTATATTTTGACCAAATCACAGCACAGATGTTTCATTTAGACCACAGGGGACTGCTTGAAAAGGAGGAAAAGGGGGATAATATGTCCTCTTTAAGCCCCATCTCATATTTCTCTCTTGTTGCATATATTCTTGTCCGCCTATTCAACTCCATCAAAGATGAACCTGTCAATCATCTTGTTCTGGTTGACATGAAGGATTTTTTAAAACTATACTGAGAGAAAATCATTCTTTCCAAAATATTTCCAAAATGTACAGTAGAGGCTTATTGTTCTTAAAATTAAATTAGGTGCTCATTTGTGGGGTAGAGTTTATGTGATGATTTAAAGGAAAGCTCTCTAATTTTGTTGTTAATGGAATATATGTGGGGTAACATCCAAACTTTTTTATTTAAAAAGTATCAGAGACAAAATTATTCCAATAAAAAACAGCAGAAGGTGTTGAAATCACATCTTTTTTGGAGCATGAATAATTCTATTGTAATTTTTTTTTTTTTTTTTTTTTTTTTTACAGTAAAACAGGTTTTACCCATTGCAGTGTCAGCTGCATTCAACAAGGAAGGGTCATCTTGTTGAAGGAAGTCCTGAAGGATGTCACAATATACCTTTGCTGCATCACACACCTTCAACTCATCAACTCATCTGCTTCAGTATGAAAACCCTGGTTTCCCCTCCACTCACGGCCAGATTATTCTGTGTACTCTGTAGTGTTTGTTGGCCACCCTGTAAAAAAATAGTCTATAGAGTTTATTCCAGTGATTTCTAACTCTGCACCATCTGCAATCAAAACAACTTCAAAGATCCCCTAGTGAGCCAAGGAAGCAACATCAGTGACAGAATTCTTCAGTGTCCGCCACTTAGCTGAAACCAGCCTCAGCCCTGAAATAAATCCCATTCAAACTTTCAATGTGTGTCTGTGTCTGCTTCTGGCTTCCTGAGTTATGACAAAGCCATACTCTTAAGATAACTATAATTACTGCATGGCCAGACATGTTGATTCATATTACAGGATGTGTCATTAATGACACACCCTTGTTAAGTAATTTGTTCAGTGGAACCGAAATGTATAACCAAGAACCAGTTCTGTGACCTGAGACCAGAAGGTATCAGGTTTCAGGGAAAGCACATAAAGAAGTCAACCAGCCCTGAGCCCTCTAAGCTGATGATGGAAGACTTCTTTTATTTTCTCGGCATTTCCTATGTATGTTGCTAATGAGCGTGATTTACAGTTAGTTGATGGAGTGCGGATACTGCAGTGGAAATGGGCCGGCTTAGATTTGCAGATTTGAAAGGCTTGTGGTAAAAGGGCAGTATAATTTATCTATAACTCATTTAGTGGTTAGACAGACACAAAGTCAAACTTTTAACTCTTGCATTCTGGAGCTGTGTGCAACAACACCACTTATGATCAGACAATGATATCTCTATAAGCTTTGATAGTTTATAAAGTGCACCACATCAGAGCGCTCTTGTGGTTTCTGAGTAAACTCTTTGGAGTAGCCTGGAGACACAGTACAAAACTTAAGCTTTTTAGAAATGATTATTGATTGGATGAAGATACTCTCAACAATAAGGGAAATTAAGAGGTCATAAAAAATGCAAAAAAAAGTTTTTAACACGTTAACCAAGACTTTATAAAACCACATATGAGCTGCATATTAATAAATAAAAAGATGTCAAGATCAAAGCTTCAAATTTGACCTGTCTGCATTGTAGGTGGTAGAATAACAAATGGTGGCTGAGTTGAGTGCAGCTTCCTGTGCTGTTTGGGATTATTATCGCAGTGATCTGCAAAATTCAATAATGTGGGCGGGAAGTTAAAGTGCTTCATACATTAAGTACATCCTCCCGAGATCCATTATATGACAGTATCTGAGACAACAATCTTCTCTTTGTATTGTTTCTGTTCACTTATTTTCAGGACGTTTGCTGCTTCATTAAAAAAGTTAGCCAAAGTGAATGAAAAACAAAGCTGCTTTTTTAAATATTTGTGTGTTTTCATGGTAACACAACTATAAGTCAGTGGTAGTTGCACTTTTCGAATCGATGACACACAAGAAAAATATCTCCTATAACTACAGGACCATGACTTTTCCTAAATGTGTCTCTATTTTATTCTAGCATTGTTATTTTATCAAAAACACAAAACACAAAAAAGTTTAGAGTATTTCTACCTTGAAAGTCCATAGCAGTCATATTGACTGCATGCATTATAGCCAGTGTATCATTTCAGTATTCGCCACTTTTTCCCGCTCTTGAAGGTAGAGGTGGGTGATATGGGAAAAATATCATATCACAATTTTTTTGGGGCAAAATCACGATCACGATTTTTTTCATACTGTTCTTTAGACAAATTTGTAAGTTGCTGACCAGTTCAACCAAACTTATTTCCCTGTATAATGTTTTTAAATGCACAAAAACTGTGCTGACAAGTTTAATCTATTTGAAAAACATCTTTGTAGGAGGTCTGGAGGTCTCTCACCCAGAACATCTTTAGCAACAGAAATGTCTTTCCCTCAATTTGATCAATATTTATGCACAATTTGAAGGTTTTCCTCACCACTTTGAAATGATGATTTCGTTATGTGTCCTCTTTTTATGTTCATCAGGAACATTTTCACGCAGTGATGCATTCATTTAAAAACATGTAGACTTCGAGTTCTTGTGTTTCTGTTCTATTTTAGCCCTGCAGACGTCCTCCAGCTGGAGCTTCATACAGGCTCTGCAGCCTTTGTTGTTTTTAGTCATTGGACTAACTTTAGTTTAGTTTATATATATAATCAAACATAATACACAATGTGTTCATTCTGTGACACATGCTCAAAGTAAGTTTTATTGACAGAAGAGTTTAATTCATAGAGGGGGCGGGACTTTGTTGATTGACAGACAGACAGTCACCATGGTTACTCACTATCACCTGCCTGCTGCTTTGTAACATCATTTAGCCTAATCCCTATAAATTCTGTTATCACAACAGGTGAGCTTCGGGTGGAGAGGATGATAGTAACTTTTAAAAACTGAGAGAGCAGGAAACACCGACAGTAACATTTTAAACACCGGGGTTATATCTCCACTGACTGTCTGAGCTGCGCCCTGTCTGTCTCTGACTGTTGACGTCTCTCCGTGTCGCTATCTGAGATGTAGGCTAATCTTAAATGTGCACATTATGCAGATAAGTTAACAGTTGATCACAGCGTGTCAGTTTGGGAAAATATCACAACAGTTGCATATAACTGGGATGGAGTTGTTTTTGCGGACTTTACTTTTAAGTTTCGTTTTCACCGCTGCGGAGCAAAAAAGGAGGAGACGCGTCTGTGTCGGAGCGTAAACTGCAGCATGATAGAATAAACACATTAGTCCGGTTCTACGATCTCCCTGCTTTGGCAGATCGTCAGCAAGTTAAAATCCTTCACGATCTAAGATCGTTATATCGCCCACCACTACTTGAAGGTGCGCATCGCTCTTGCCTAGCAACTATTGTTTATAACGCTCGAGGCAAGGAGGAAAGAAAGCTTACCCGCCTAAAACCATATAGAAAGAATAGAAGACATTTAAATTAATCAACATTGAAAAGGCAGAATAGAGTAAATTAGGATCTGATTTAGAACAGAATAGAACAAAATGTCAGAAAGGAGGAGGATTGCTGCCACAGAGGCTTTAGCCATGCTCCAGAGCCTTGATGAGGCAGAGTCTGATGGAGGCGCAGGTTCGGATACGGAAAGTGATGTCTCCTGGTCTCTCGAAACTTCATCTGACACTGGCTCTGAGATTGAACGTGAGAATGATACAGAGATCATTCCCATTCGCAAAAAACACCGGCTGCTGTTCCCGTGGTTGTCGATAAACTATTAAAATTTCTAATTCATTAGAATTTAATGTTTGTGTCCTGAAGTTTATTATAACTTTCACAACATTACAGATCCATTTATTCTTAATGTGATATTGATTATTGAAATGATATACAAATAATTCGTAAACAGTCAAAATGACCGCTATGGCCTTTCTAGTAGTGATAGAATGCCGGTCGTTCAAGTGTTAATAGACTTGATGGTCGGTCAGTGTTGAAGATATTAGAACAAATCTCTGATGTGAATGGGACTGACAAAATAGTCAGTCTTTTATACTGTTGAACTCAAGTGTTTTTAGTTTCGTGAGATACCTGGAAAACTTGGAAAATGATTCATATTTCTACTGTATAACACTATTGACCCTAGCAACCTCTATCGTCAACAGCTTCCTCTCCACAGGATGCTTCCCGACCAATTTGAAACATGCAGTGGTTCAGCCTCTTCTCAAAAAACCTAACTTAGACCCTAACATTTGATCAGATTTTAGACCCATCT